GCCCTCACAATGCCAACCTGGGCAAATACTACCACTCTATGTGCAATCTATAACGAATACTTTTTTGCCCAAATTTATGAGGAAAAACTAGGGATGCTCATTATACATTGGCTCAGGAGTTGGGTGAGCCCCGTGGGCCTCCTGGGGCTGCTGCACTATCCCTTCTGGACCCACCTAAGCCATGGGGTTCCAGTCCAAGAGGATCTGGGATCTGGAAGGACCTGGACCAGCTCCTCACATGCTTCAATCAGGGGAAGGGCGGTGGCAGGTTGACAAGGAGGGCCAGGGCCATGCAGGGTGAGGGTTGAGCCATGGAGAGGTAACTTGGAGCACCTGGCTCACTGTGGGCCAAGCAGCCTCACAAGCCCCTCCCTGTCCTGCCAGCGACATGTGGGGCCATCTCAGCTGTGGCTCTTGATGTAGCCCAGAGAGAAGGGCTCCTGGGAGAGAAGGAAGGAGTAGCCTGCACAGAGCTGGCAGCTGTGGGAGGGTGGTGTGATGTACGTGTTTACTGGGGGACCATTATCCCTCTCAGATGTGTCTCTCTCCGTGAGAACCAGCCACTTTCTCAGGGGGTGTTTTCTGGAATGTTTGGGACAAAAATGTGAGTGTGCATTATACATGAGGCTGCTTTATACACGGCAAAATATGGTAATTCAAAGTCAAGTACTGGGATTTTTCCAGTTATGTTCTTTTGTTCAGGATGGTTCTAGGTACTCTGGATCTTTTCTGGTTCCATATACATTTTAGGATTATTTTTTCTATTTTGGTAAAGAATGCCATTGGTGTTTGGATGGAGCTTGCATTGAATCTGTAGATTGCTTTGGGTAAGATGGACCTGTTAACAATATGCAAAAATAATAGAAGAAAAGGACTAATAAATGTTAGAGCAGAAATAACTGCAATTAACCCCCCGATACAAAACATCCATGAAATGAAAAGTTGGCTTTTTAAAAACATAAACAAAATTAATGCACCTTTATCTGACGAAGAAAAAGAGAGAAGATCCAAATAAATCAAATCAGAGCTGCAAAAGGAGACATCATTACAGATACTGCAGAAATTCAACAGATCATTACAGACTGCTCTGAGCAACTACATACCAATAAATTGGAAAATCTAGAAGTGGATAAATTCCTAGACACTTACAACCTATCAAATTGAATTAGGAAGAAATCTAAAACCTGAATAAACCAATAGCAAGTGACAAGATCCAAAATGTCTCCTGTCAAGAAAAACCCAGGACAGCTTCACTGCTGAATTCTACCTAGCATTTAGACAACTGCAATACCTATCTGTTTAAACTATTCTAAAAATATGAGGAAAAAGGAATACTCTCAAATTCATTCTACAAGGTCTGTATTACTTTAATACCAAAACCAAACAAAGCTG